TTCAGATTGATATCAGAAAATTGATTAGTACATCACCATCACCCACTGAGGCTACAATGGCTGTTATTGTTGGTTTGAGCACAGCCATGACATAGGTGCTGCAGTGATGCCATGAGATAATTCATCCCTTTGACACAGTGACAGAGATTTAATCAAGCCAGAAGTACATACCATACAGAAAGAAACAAATAGCATAATATGCTTTTTCTTTGTGTGCAGATTCAATGGGCTTTCATTTTTTTTCCTCAGTTGAATACATTTAAAATAAACATCTGCTGAAAACAATCTACAAACCATCATTGTTCCTCTTTTTTAGAGTCATGTGGTCTCTTAACATGCATCTCTCTGCTCCAATCATCAGAGCTGCTACACCTCCCCAGTACACTGGATCCACCATCCCACGCATAAAGGACTTGTTGAGAGAACCAGTTGATGGGAGCTCCAAAGAGACAGTTTTAGCCCATTTTGTCTGAGTTGAGAAAGTGGATCCTAGAGGATCTGCAAGTTCAACCCTGGTGAGAGACCAGAATGAGTCCTGGAAGGGTAAACAGTACCACTTGGGAGTCCACAGTGAGGCTGAAATCAAACAAAGTGAAGACGAGGAAGGAACCACTTTTTAGGATTCACAGACAATGTGTATATAGCAAATAATAAAACAACCACAATACAAGCTATAGTAAATATGTTGTATTTACAGACAAGACCAAACTATAGAAGAGATCCACAAACTGCTCTCTTGCTCTGTTAGTGAACAAGAACTGGCATGTCCTGACATCATCTTAGGGTTTCAGCAGAGCCACTGTGTTGCAGTAAAATCATAGTGAGAAAGGGTGCTAATAAAGACAGGAGAGCTAGACATCCATTCAGGTGCATCAACAGACACCTTGTGCCAGAAAACATCAATGCTCTGTGAAAGTCTCTGATTTAACTGCATGAATAGTTTTAGCCAAGATATACAGTAAACACCTTGGCACAAACTACTTCATTAGGTGAACATAATCAATTATTCTGATCACTTTTACTTTGAAAGTTCATAGAAATGGTGCTACAAACATTTAGAAGGCAAAGACAGGATATAAGCTCAGAAGGTTTTAAGGAGAGGTATGTGACGTAAGACAGACTGTGACAAAAACAACGCAAACAAATAACCTAAAATCTGTAAACAGATAATCATTGTGCATTTTCTGAGCATGTGCTTATTCTGTCATTGTTGATGCTGCTGCTGAGATCAAATGTGCCCTTTACAGGAAATCATAACTACATTAGTAGAATAATATCAATTATGAAAATTATAGCAATAATATTATCATCAGCAACAAATAATACAAACATTTAATGAAAACCATTCTTGCCATAAAATAACATTATCAGTTCATTACTTATTTTCTTTTCTGCCACAGGAGCAGGAGGGGTGTTTGATTGAGAGTTTTCAGCCCCTGTCAGTCAACTACTGCGTACCCCCGTAAGTTATGATCAGCATGATATAATGGGGTTTTGGTAGGTACAGAGGGGCATCTTGATTGGTCTTGAATGCCACCCATGAGGGCAGGTTTTGGGTTTGGGAGAGACAGGCGTGGAACAGGTTCAGGCTCTCACTGTCCTAAGACCCTTGACAGGGGCTGGCAGGCAGAGAGAAGCAGAGAGGAGATCCTTGCTGTTGCTTGGAGGCCATTTCATGTTCTTATACCCATTCTACAGGCACTGGGATGGGAGACCTTGAGGGGAGTCCTGTTGTCCAGGGGCATCTCAAAGGGCTGTGTGGCACAGCACATCTTCCACGAGGAAGAGGAGGCAGGGAGGGAGGTAGGAAGGTAATACAAGACGCACCAGGGCCAAAGGGAGAGGGAGATTAGGAAAAGGAGGGGATGAAAAAAGTAAAATAAAAAAATAAAATAAAATAAAATAAAAATCACACACTCATCGTCATGTTGGGTGAATACTGTAAAGAGAGAAAAAAGAGGATGCAGTGGGAAAGACGAGTCAGTATTAAACTTCTTATACTACTGAGTTCAAGATTAAAGAAAGTCAACTAACTAAACTACACACCATGTTTTGCAGCCTACATTACACAACAAAAACCCATTTCTAATAGATTTTCTATGTCAGTAAACCAGCAGCACAGCAGAGCCCAGGCCAGGAAGAACATGTTGGGGAATTCCACATTGTAGTGAAGATACTGTAGCAACATGCATTGCATATAATGCCAGTCTCACATTAATCACTATATGGCATTCTCGCCACACACCAGAGAAATACTAATGCTTCCATGTTGCTGTTTGTGCCTGTTGGTTCTGACTTAGGTAAAGCTGGGAACACAGGGCACAATATGTGGACTGATTACAAGTTTATATTTGCCATGTGGGCTCATTTCACGATGATGGAGATTTGGTGGTAGTGTGTGCAAAAAGAACACGGACCAATTTCCAACCACATTTGAGACTGGTCTGTGGTGCTAGGGCTGTCTTACCTTTGCCCTTAGATTGACCTAATGCAAGTTAGATGGTTTCACAAAAATAAAGACTGACGTATCATAAGGATAAAACATTAGTCATGCTAGCTTTTGGCTATCTTAGAACTAAAAACCATGTTTCCATGGTAACAGTCATTGACACCTACAGATCAGCGGTACACAACGACAACAACAACAACAACAAAAAACCATGGCTCAGATTTGTGTTTTTTCAACATTGTTGTAGAGTGAGGTTTTAGAAAGTGCAGTAACTTGTTGAAAATAAACAGCAGTGAGGACACTGTCAGTTGTTTTCATTTGGCCAGAGCAAATGTGCTGAGCAGGGGCAGATTTTGAAAATCTGAGATGGGGTGGCCAAGCAGGGGTACAGACTCAGAGAGAAGTGGCACATTTGAAAAATATGTAAAAACTAAATTAAAACTATAATTCTATAAAATAATAAGCCACACATTATTATGAATTGTTTATTCTGTGTAAAAATGAGACACTTCAGTTAACTTTGGCTGCACTCCTTATTTACTCCCAGCTGGGGACCGTTGCTGCACAGTGGTTCCCCCCACTGAGGCGTATCGTGCCATGTAGCCTACTCCACAACAACACAGTTGGAAATGAATGCAAATGTCATGCTGCATGCATGATATAAAATAAAACTAATTTGACCAATATCAATTATAAAGCACCAGAAAAATGTTAGTTGTATTTAAGGTTACAGTTTGTCAGTGTTTTTTATTTTTCATTCATTAATATTGACAAGCATAGCATTTTGACTCTGCGAGGGGTAGCACCAGGGACAGCCTGTCAGATTCTGGGGGTGGCCAATGCCACCCATAGCCACCCCCTGGCTTCGCCCATGGTCCTGAGCCTGGATGATGGGTTAAAAGTACTGAGCCATGCCACATTAAAAAGCCGAAGCGCATCAGCTCTGCTACAGAACAGTTGAGAAGACAAATAGTTTCTGCTGAAGTGAATGGGTCTGAGCAGTTTGATGTGGTTGTTCAGTCAGTTGTGTTTTTTTAGTTTGAAAAATGTCTCTACAGAGGAATCATGGCAAATAAGTTCTTACTGAGACCGTGAAGAACTGCTTTGTGCTATAGACAAATCTACCTGAAGACTGACTATTAGTTTGATCTAAGCTATAATCAACATCTATTTCTGTGAAACCAGGCCCAAGTGACTAGGGTCGAATGGCACACACAAGCGTCTAGTTATAGGGTTTAGGATTTCAGTTTCTTGACCCATAACTGAGTCTGGCACAGGATGGAGCCATCACAGTTGTCTCAAATATATTTATATTTCACTGACTGGAAAATTTTAATGGGACCCTGCTGTATGATTGGGCTACCAGTGGAGATTTGTGCAGACATTACTGCAATGTGCAAAAATGATTAAATACTGTATGTAACTCCATGAACTGTCACAGCTGGATGTTTGTTTCCAGCATAAGAGGTGTACTGTCTATCTCCTTTGGTACTCACACTTTCACTTTGGAATGGGTTTAAAAAGTTGCCTGCCATCTCGCCGTCATCCCGTGGAGTGCCAGGGGGATTGTTCATGCCTGCCATGTTGTTGGGAGAATTCTACAGCGCACGGGAAACAAACCAATACAAATACAAACATCTTACAGAAAAAAGAAAGACAAATATGCTGATAGACAGAAACACAGAGAGTCAGTCTTACCTTTGGCAACCCATCCATGTCACCAGAGCCTTTGATCAGGGATTGAAAAAAAGAGAAAACTTAATCATTACAAGGTAACAGATGTTCCACATCCTGCTAATAATTCAACATCAGTTCAGGATATCCAGTGCAAGTAGAAACAGCCTGCCCTCTCACAGGCCTTTAATTAAGCTATCTGTTTCAGATACAGATGAGCACCAACTTCACGGATCACGTCTCACCCATTGATAGGATCAATTGGCCTGCTCACTGCCCCACTAATCTGTTTTAGTTTTGATCAATACTAAGAGGAGGGAGAAACTGTCCTCTAGCAACCACAAGGGGGCAGAGTCTTACTTCTAAAGGCCTCTATTCATAGACAGTAACAGGTTTTGCTGAATATACTCAGGCACATATACCATGTTCCTGATTCATGCACTGTACACTGTCTTTAGCTACTCACCTAATGATCCATTCATATGATGCTGCTCCATGGCACCCATCCCACCCATTGGCCCATCAGGACCAGGCCCCATTGGGAACTAAAGAAAAACAACAGGAATATTTACAAATGTAATTTCTCTCGCTCTTTTCATGCCTGGGTAACATGGCAGGATAATGGATTAGATCAACTAAAAATAAATCTTAGATGAACTGTAGAAACACCAAAGCATTTATTTAAAATGAACTAAATGACTTGACTCACATTCGGTCTATTTCCACCAGGGCCGATTGGGTTCATCATTGTGTAGATGTTTTCACTTGAGTTTGTTGAATCTATAAAGAAAAAAAAGCAGATGGATGTCCAGAATATTGTAAGGCAGTATGTTGTAAACCTTGTGTGTTACACATCTGCATTCAACCGTGCTAAAAAATGTCAAAAACAAGATGGATTTTACTTATGGAATGGGGTAATGGATGAGAAATAACAAGAAACAGGAGTGGTGCTGTTTTTTACTGTGTTTGACACTGATTCTGCTTAATTTTGCCATTTGTAGAGTACATTTAGCTATAGCCTAGATATGTTTTTTTTCTTCTGGACATTGCAAAGAGCACTTGTATACCTGGCACATAATACCAGTGAATCTGTCTGTTAATCTCTTCACTGCTTTCTGCAGTGTACAACAGAAGAAACCCATTATCTCTCCATAAATCAGAAAATTAGAACAAGTTATTATATGGACAACCCGGCAGCAACAGTTAGTATATGCCGCGTTGGTCCTTGTGTCCTTCTGTCCTGAAAATATTTAGAAGGATGAGGTGACCTTGATCTGACACTGTAGGGAGAAAGTTGTGAGAAGAAGGCTGAGAAAGAAAAACAGGGAAAAATAAGAACAGCAGATTGAATGACAGGAGGTGGAGATGGATACTCTGTTTTCAAAGTAGTGGAGTGATCTGTTAATGTCCTTCAATCTACTGTCTGGAGGAGGGGGGGGCAACCACAAGGGCAACATGCGCATTTTAGGAACAGGCTTGTGTGTATGTGAGAGTGTGTGCACAGTCTTGGCAGGCACATTGGAAATATGTTTTCCTCCCAATGTATGTATGAGCAGGAGGTTTTTTTTACCAGCAACATACACAATAGAGCTACGTATATAAATAATAAATAGTTGACACAAAAAGAAGCCCTCCAGAGGCCAAAAAAATGTCTACAGTCCACAGTCTTCTCTCAGCTAGTCCTCTACAGAGAACCTACACTGATTGGTAAAGGCTGCAGACTGACACACCTTTGCTTTTATACAACTGTCTCAGCTCTGAGAAAACACAATTAACAACATCTATTGTTTTTTCAGAATGTGTCTGAAGTGGAAAACAGTGACAAATGTGGTGCCAAACCAAAATATCATCACATATAATATCACATTCAGAGGAATATTTTACAATTTTTCAGTGTTTTACACTTGCAAAAATATTCCTAAGTGCTCAATTCCTAAACTATTTAGACTCCTCTCTCTGCCTATCTCCCAAAGAGATGTGAATCTGACACAGAACAGGTTTTATGTTTCTCAGACAGAGCCCTCCTTCAGTTAACACATGATAAAAGTAGAAATCAGAAGGGAAACTGAAGTGCATAACTCACCTCCGGGGCTAGGCATGATGGGAGTTCCTGGTGGGCCGCCTCCCCCTGGAGGGCCCTGAGGGGAGAAGAAGCAAGAGAAGGAGAGAAATGAGTGCTGAGTGCATCTAGACGGTAGCGTGCCTGTTAGATATCACTGCATGACAGGTAATTTATGGGCTGTGGCTTGAACATGAGTCCATGACAGGGTTACTTACCACATAGTTGCCTGGAGATGAAGATGAGTAAGCTATCTGTGGAGACAATAGACCCGAGGTGAGACAAAACATGAGGCAGTTATTGTAAACAGACCCTGCAGTGTATGTGATAAAGATGTGAGAGAATGTGACTCACTGAGTTGGTGTTGGGGTTCGGCCATGGGCCTCTGCCACCAGGACCCCTGGAAAGCAGGGAGAGCAATAAGGAACGGGAGTTCTAATAAAACAATTCTGTCACACAACAAAATTACAGTACATCATCTTTTCAAAGGCAAAAACCGTGATGATTTATATTTAGTGATTTCTTAAATACACGAATGAAGCAAATTACAGATATGCATAGATAATCTTGTATTTTTGAAAATAGAATTTACTGTGCTTTAATTGTAAGAGACACACAGAAACAAATAATTCCTTATGAAATTATAATCTGTAAATGGGGAGCTCTGGAAGTAAATCAGATTGGAGTATCACAAAATATTTATGCATGGTGATCTGTTCTAATTTCATAGACCTAATAAAGTCAGTTGGGTCACTAAAATTTGATTAATGAGAGGTATACATTTCACACCCAACTGGAGATGGACATACAAAATTTACAAATATTTAGAAAACTTTATTTGGTCTACTAACATGTTCATG